AGACCTACACATTTTTCAGGGTTTCGCTCTTCTTTCTTTCAATTGCACAAGAAAAAGAAAAATAGTCTCCTTTTTGTTTTTTATTTAAAGCTAAAAAAATCCACCGTACCGTACTCCTCTATTAATCCACTTGGTAAATACATAATTGATTTCATTTCAGAGATTCGGAAGATGAATGAAACTAATATTTTTGTTTTTTTGTTTTTCTAGTATTAGAAAGATTTATTTGTGTTGTATACAATGGTAAAAAAAATGTGGGAGAGATAACTTCTAATTGCGCAACTAAAAACAGATTTACGTAATCAATCCATTCTACTACGTTGCAGAATATAATGCATACAAAACCGTCTCTCGTGTGTGCCTCCACACTCAGAAAGGTAATTAAGGACACGACCAAAAATTTCAAACTCAGAGAAGCTTCATCATCTGAATTCCAAAAATTTGATTTGTGGAAGTTCAAAACTCAACCAAATATCAAAGACATTTCTCTCGGTGGGAGATCAGTAAGGGCGAGGTGGATTCAGAGAAGCTTCAGCTTGTATTCATTGTGTGGAGATATTGAATCGGTAGAGCATCTCAAAAAGTCTGGTCTCTTAGCACCAATGTCAACAATCAATATATTGAAATCAAATCTCCACCACTCATCTAAACCACTTTACATGAAATTTTTTACCGACGCAGCCTGGAAGAGTGATTTATCGAGCTGTGGTTTAGGTTGGTGGATTGGTTAAAATGCAGAATCAGAGATGCTCAGGGAGGAGTACACAAAATCCAAGCTTGATGTTTTCTCGGTACTTGCAGCCGAAGCATAGACCGTGATCATGCCATTCAAAAAGCTCGAGAAAAAAAGGTGTTGATTCTCTCCTTGTATGTTCCGACTCACAAGTTTTTAATTAACCTACTCTTCTAAAGGAAAATGCATACAGAGGTACACAACCTTATTTTCGAGATTAGATTATTACTCTTTAATTTCTTCCACGAGTAGCCAATATGTTGACGGATGCATTAGTAAAACGAGCTCTTGGTGCTCTTGAATTGTCGACGATTTCGACTTAACTAAAAAAAATTATGATTTTGACCCCCAAAAAAAAAAATGGCTATCGTAGTTCCATGTTTAGCAGAAAAAGCTATCAATGCAACTGGATGTGGAGTTCATTGTAAATTTTCATCACAATTCACAACCACATGCTACAAATTGTTAAATTCGACCAATTGTGTGGAATAAAATCAAATATCTACAATTTCATCATTTATGCATGATTTTTTTTCTACATTTATAAAATAGGGAATCTTTTATGAGTTCTATACCCCCCCTTTGTAGGTTTGAATCATTTGATTGATAAAGAGATAACGACGAAAAACAAATAAAGAATAGGCTTAAGTCGTTTGTCCCCCTGCAGTTTTTTTGGAGATAATCTAATCTACTGTATCGAATCTCGACATAGATTTTAAACTTTTTAAGCAATTTCCCATTGGAAAATTTGAAAAGGTTTTATACTAATAAAACTATTTAGTCTTTGTTTATTTATATATTTTTCCATCTCTTGTCCCATTCATTTTTCTTTTTAATCATATTTAGCAATTTACTGACACAGAGGTTGCATTGCAGGTGGAGAAATTTTCTCCGGGAGAGAACATCAAACAGGTGAGAAATAAAAAAAATCTTCTTCTTCGACATATTCGAATTTTAACCGGTTTTTAGAACTGTATATGAAATGGGCAAAAGCTTGTTGGAGAAAAGATTAAACCTTTCTTACCGATTAGCTTTAGCTTTATTACTGATTTGGTTATGGAACTTCTTCATCTCTATAATTGTTTTTCTCAAAAGAAAAAAAGAAAAACCCATTATTGTTCCACCTAGCTCTCTCTGTGACTATCTAAGGTCTTTTCTTCAATTTTGTTTTGAAAGTTTGAGTTGAGTGAG